GGACAGAATTATGTAAGGTTTTGATTGCAAGGTTCACGTTTGTGCATTGTACGTGATGTTTGATTGACACTCCTATTTGTTACAGATGAAAATTATTCTATGCCTCTATCAGACTAACTACTGAGAATTTTGGGTTGAATGACTGGTTTTTGTTGTCAGGCAAGGATGTTTGGTTCTTGATGCTATTTGTGACATTATTTACTTTGAATGTGTGATTTTTTTTTCTCATGGTCCGTGACTATGCTTATGATTTGAGACACCATAGACACATGTTACTTGCTTCAGGAGAAAGCTGTGTCACAATTCTAAAGGGACTTGTTTGTTTGACAACTTAATTAGCTATGCAACAAACCATTATTTGAAAGTATGCTTTTAGTTTGACTTTGTTAAATATTATGTATCATGAATTATAGCTTCTTTGTTAAATTTGGTTCTGGCCATGCTTTAGTGTAAACAATGAACTGTTATCCCTATACTTGATCACAGAATGAACCATAACATTCCTNGTGACATTATTTACTTTGAATGTGTGATTTTTTTTTCTCATGGTCCGTGACTATGCTTATGATTTGAGACACCATAGACACATGTTACTTGCTTCAGGAGAAAGCTGTGTCACAATTCTAAAGGGACTTGTTTGTTTGACAACTTAATTAGCTATGCAACAAACCATTATTTGAAAGTATGCTTTTAGTTTGACTTTGTTAAATATTATGTATCATGAATTATAGCTTCTTTGTTAAATTTGGTTCTGGCCATGCTTTAGTGTAAACAATGAACTGTTATCCCTATACTTGATCACAGAATGAACCATAACATTCCTGCGGTCTAAATATCTGAATGAGTTCTAGATTAGTGACTTGTTTTTCTACTCTGGGTCGGTCGATCGTAGTTTCCCTTTGAGCTTTCCACACCAAAATGAAAACAAATAATGGGACAGGATTTGTTACTTTGTTTTGGAATGTCATTCCATTTATTCCATGAACATTATTTCGGGGGTTTATACGTGTTGAATCCTTCTATCTTTGTTGTAATAGTTTTAGTATGATGCAGTTCATTCTATTTTTTTTTTCAGGTTGATTCTCTTGAAAAGCTGAGTGAATTGCTTGATGCATGTAATAGAATTGGAGTGGAGACAAACCCAAAGGTTATAGATGAAATAGGAATCATTCCTTTGTTTTCTTGGTATCATGAGGTGATTACTTATATAGTGACAGTTTTTAGCTCCTCAATCTTATATACCATGTGGCGGACTGGATCCAAAGTTTTCCTTACTGACAATTTATTTGAATGCTCAACCTGCTTCTTTGACAGAGCTTTGACAAAGAGAAGGACATAACAGGCTTTCGCATCCCGTCTTTGGAGATGGTGACTATTCTCCTTAACTCCTAGTAAGCCATTTGGCAAAAAATAGTTGATGGTCTGATCATGCGCTTGATTTCCTACAGTGCTTGATTGAGAAGGACTATCTGCATAATGGATGAGGCCAATTTCTGTCTTGTGTGATAAACATGTATGTGATTTAAGTATATGGATATGGTGTTACTAGTGTACAAAATATAATATAATCACGATCCCTGAAATTGTTCCCTGGTGTTGAAATACCATGCTTGTGATGGTTTGGTAATTATTGTGTAAATATGTTGGAAAATTTCACATCACCTGTCTCAATTCTTGGATTGTTTATATATTTGTTGGACAATTTCACTTAAGCCAATCAATTGAGCTGAAATATATCAGTCATGCTAAGGTCATCAGATTAACAAGATTAGCTAGTTGGTAGAATCTAGAAATTTCCAATCAAGTCCTGATAAAACAATATGCTGAATCACTCTTAAGGTTGACATTATCTATATATCTTTTTTTTAAGAAAAAATGCAAAATAGCAAGGAGCAAACGATAACCAAGAAGAAAGTCAAGCATGATATAGACCATGGTAAAGGCAAAGATTTTAGTGGTAGATAAGATAAGAAGAAACCGAGTAGCTCAGCTTTTGATATTGTGTGGAAAGGCTGCCCAAGTCAATGCACTATTCACTCTTTTCGTAAGATAAAGCACTAAATCAGAGAATCGCAGCCGGAAGATATCTCTCAACAGTTTTGTAAGGGCTGTATTACGCTAGATTGATGATATATATCCAAGATAATGTAGGTTGGTTGTCGTGATGCAAGCTTCATGCAAAGTTGTTAGAGATGTAAAATCAATTTTAAACCTTCACCTAAAAGATCTAGCTTTTGAGAGTTTGATTCTTGCCGCTACCATTCTTTAAAATCAAGACTTACATTTCAGCATATGTTAAAATGGACCGTGCTTCGTTGACATTCAGTACATTTTTTGGAGGTTGTTCTTCACAGTGGGGAAGTAGTAAGTTGTAAAAAAATATAGATAATGCTGTTGGTTTTTTTGGTTATTAGGGATACCATCAATTTGGCCTTAATGAAATGAATAGAACTAACTGTGTTAAAAGTGTCACTCTAATACACGACTTAGCTCCGGACATAAAAAATTATTTTTTACAGTTCCTTGTGCCTGCTTTTGGGCAAAGTTAGGTGCTCAGATAATGGTAGGAAGATTCTTCTTGAATAGCATTTTAGTATTCAAATATGTCTATTGCTATAGTTTTGTTCTAACTTTCAAGTAGTTTCCAATATGATAGATATTGATGGCAATCTATACCCTTTTCTTAGGCATGTAAAGACTTCTATGCGTGCAAGTGGCCAGAGGGCCTTTCAAGTGGTGATATGACCCTCGCTTCATATTTTGATGCCATGAATGATAAACAAATGGAAGTAATAAAGGACGTTCAGATGACCTGTGATCACATCATTACCTTTTCCCATTTTGTTCCCAGGTGGTTAAATCTATCATTTAAATTGCAGCTTTATTGGTCTGGTTTACTCATTTGTTTCTATGCATGTATGATGTGCTGTTTGAACTGACATGGTCTGACAATCTATCTAATCATGTTACGAAAATGATGCAGTAGTCCTTTACTCCTTTGCTGTTCTTTCCTAATCATCTCTGGGAACCGATTATGTTGTGGCACTGTGGTGGTTAATTGACAACCTGAAAAACTTTAATTAATTCTCTTTTGTAGTATTTTTTTTTTCACTATAGAACTTAGGTTTTCCGGAGAAATTGATTAGTGTTCATAGATTTATCACACATGATCTCGTTACACGATACTGCTTATTGTGTTGAACAATTCAGATGATTGACCTGGAAATTTTGTATATTTTGCCCTGCATTATGTAAAGGATAGCTCACACTATAGAACCGATTATTTGATATTTTGCTTGACCGTAGCCATCTATTCTTGTTTAATTTCGCCCTGCATTATGTAAAGGATAGCTCATTCCTAAAAACTCACAAGGTTGTGCTAGGTAACCTTCCAATTCTGTGCTGAAGATATATGATTTGACACTTGTGAAAAGATGTAGGTAATAACAACTACCGTAAGAACAATTAACCTTATTTATTGCATGAATCACTCGACGCTATAGGATTCGGCTAAAAAACCAATTCTCAGATATTCACCGTGAGAACCCTCTTGGTAATTTTCTCTAAAGTCCCTTTTAGTCTCCCTCGCTCATTTTTTAGATGTAAGCTTGTAGCTATGTTGTTGTCAGTGCCAACTACGTAAAACTGTTCTTCTGCTTAGCCACATCACTTGTTTTATCTGCATTGCAAGTTTTTTTGTCCTTATTGCTATGTAGATGATGTTTATGTCAGTGTAATGGTGCTAAAGTTCCTAATTCCCAAATGAGTCTAGAATCCACTCAGTTACATGGCTCTTGTGGTCACCAAAACTAAACTAATAAGAAGTGGCCTATAATGCTTGAATGCATGATGTCAAAGTACAAATTGTGACTTTTCTTTACATAATTCCTCATAAACACAAACATGCGTGATATTAGTTTATCATACACGTCTCTTGGTGCCTGAGGAGCTGCTTAAACAATAACACTTTTGTGATTGTGTTACTTCTAAAGATGAGTATATTGATTTATTGTGGTAATGGCTGCACGTTCACAGGCAGGAACTTTGTCCCGAGAAGAGGATGTTATTCTATCCCAACCTTCCAAAGATAATTGGCTCAGACTCTCTTGAGGATCGAATAAGATCCATACATGGAGCTAAGGGAAAGAAGGATGCGTCTTCTTGTCATGTGTTCGGTCATACTCACTTCTGCTGGGATGCTGTTGTTGATGGTATCAGGTGTGTTCTGTTAGTAGTTGTATTTTGGTTTAAAATACCAACTGTCCATTATTTTTTTGCGGTTTAGTCTCTTAAACTTATAAGTTTCAATTGTGTTAAAGTAAATATTTCAAAAAGATGAAAGAAAGATGAATTTAATCAACAAGATAACAGAAACATCAAAATGAAAATCAAAGGAGAAAAAGAGGAAGAACCAAAAATGTGTTTTAGCCTATTATTTTTAAATTATAATTGTTGGTTGGAGTGGAAATGAGTAAACTTGCTGTGTTGCTAAATGGTTTTGACACAATTGCAGGTATGTTCAGGCACCCTTAGCTTATCCAAGGGAAAGGAAGAGAAGAATGAATGGAGGTGAAAATTGGCTACCGTTTTGCCTTTATGCTGACAACAAATTTGCTGATAGACTCAGCCCTTGCTATTGGTCTGATTATTACTCTGCAAACCCCAGGACACCTCATAATACTCAACTTGCCCCTTGGGTCGCCAGATTTTATAAGCAAACAGAAACCATAGATGTATAGTCTTCACTACTGACTTTAGTAAGCTGGATATATTTGTTGATTATATATTCCTCTTTTGTATTGTTTTTATTGGATTAAATCAATATATAAGTCCTCTGCAAGGTGAAAGTTGCTGTAACACAAGCCAAATCTAAAATCTTGAATGGTTCCACTGTTATCTTTTGCAGTCCTTTTATTAGTATTCCCTACTTAAATGTCTGTTAGTTACTTTTAGAGTAATAGTAATCTACATGAAAGAGTGATATAATCTGATGCAGCATCGCTACACAACATACGGTTTCGCACATTTTATTCAGTGTGTAAATACAACAGCTACACACTCAACTGGGATTTTGGAAGTTGTGACCCCAAAACAAGAAAATAAACATGCACATGCAGAAGCCTAGTAACCACTCAAGTAGAAGGCTGGCTGAAAAAACACAGGAAAACAAAAGCATACCATTATATTTAGATGACAAAAAGCAACTGATAACACATTTTGATGCACAAATGCAACAACTGGTAGAAACAACTTAGTAATCTTCAGAAGGCAAGGGCTGGTGGTGGTGTGGGGGAGGTTCAATTGGGATCACAGCATATTCATACACCAGTGCTGCCAGTGCTGCCCCAATCAATGGACCCACCCAGAAGATCCAGTGCTGGTGCCATCTCCAGCCCACTAGGGAAGGTCCAAAAGCCAGAGCAGGGTTCATGCATGCTCCATCAAATGGCCCACCAACAAGGATGTTTGCTCCAACAATGAGCCCAATTGCCAAGGGTGCGATATTGCTAACAGCGCCCCTTTTGGGATCTATTGCAGTAGCATATACAGTATACATCAGCCCAAATGTCATCACAATCTCAAGTATAAACATGTGTCCTACTCCAACACCTGGTGCTATGTGGAACCCTGATGGTCTCTACAACAAGCAACCGCAAACATATCAGTTTCAGTTAGAAATCCAATTTTTATCATGTCGCTCATAAAATTCAAATGATTATGCTGAACCTACATGATTATTGACTTTTCTCAAGTTTTTAAAATCCTTAAACTTCAAATCAAAATATAGTTTATATATAAATAATTATTAAGGTTAAGCCATAGTTTTGCAATCTTCTAGTTAGAAGATATCATTACAACAAACATCTACAGTAACATCGTTATATACATCATCCTTGATATATACAAATAATTTTGTAAAAGAAAATAGTTTACCATGTTATTAGTGACAAGCCTGAGCACAAGAGCAGCCACAATAGAACCCAGAAGTTGAGCAACCCAGTAGTATACTGCACGAACAACAGAGATCCTCCCCCCAACGAGAGCACCGAATGTCACAGCTGGGTTGACATGGCCACCTGATACATGCATGCTAGCAGATACAGCAGCAAATAGAGCAAATGCATGGGCAAGTGCAAGTGCTAACAGTTCACCAGCTGAGAAAGCTGAATCCTGGTAAATCTTAACTGCAACAAAGAGAAGTCACACAAATCACCTCCACAAGCACACAATAAAAAACCAGCACACATATATGTGTGTGTGTATTCTTAGCATCCATGTATAAGGTAATCCAAGGTTAAGTAGCACCTTTAGCTAAGCTGAAAAGGTGTCAGCTAAGGAAGATTAGGTTATGTCATGAAATGTCAGCCCATGTAAACATAAAATAAACAATTCAGAAACATTTGTATGCCAAGAATGAACCAAGATTTAGAATATGTACAAACCCAAAGCAAGGCCAGAGCCTTCTCCAGCAAAGACAAAGATGAAAGTGGAGGCAAATTCAGCCAAAGTGGCCCTCATGGAGTCAGGATGAGTGGCCTCATCAGCCCTTCCAAAAACATATCTGCGGGTTGCCATCAGCAAATTAAGATCACTCTTGCACAACTCCTTAGGACTACCAACTAAGGTTGTCACACACCTAGCCTTTCAAGATCAAAGATCCTTGGCCAGCTGAGACTGTATTACGTTTTTCTGAAAAGGGTTTTTTCTCTTTGCAGAATGGAGATTTGGAAGGTGAGAAACTATGGTGCATGTATGAAAAAGGTGGAGTGATCGTGCTTATAAGGGGAAACTCAGAGTAGAACTTAGTCGAGAGACACCTAGGTACGTGAAATGCTACATGGTTTACACGTGGTTTTATTGGTATGAGTTGGCTGCTTCTTACAATATGAGTCATTCTTTATTTGCTACACATATCAACATCAATGTGATGCAGTGTTACGTCAATCCACATTTTCTGAACAGGACAAAAACCAAAGTGCAGCCACCAGCTAAGCCTTGCGGTTGCGGTTTCAGAGGTTTGGCTGACTCGTGCATTGAAGTGAGTTTTCTTTTTCTATTAATTTTAAATTAAATTATTCAATCTCTATATTTATTTTCCTGTTTAGAACACCCAACTTTTTACCGAACAGAATCTAAACATTATATTACATGTAGAATTTCATAAATTTAACTTATTAACTACCACCTTTGTCTCACTTAATTTTCTTTCAGGTTTTGTTCACTTGCATGGATTTGGGAGAAAATGAACGAAGAATTTGAGAGAATTTGGAAATAAATTTTGTTGTTGTTTATTTGAGTAGATTTGGAGGTAGGTGAGAGTGAATTTGGAAGTAAATTTTTTTAATCTGTCACGTCAATCAAAATCTTACACGAATTCTTGTTTTCAAATTCACTCTCACTTACCTCTAAATTCACTCAAATAAACAACAACAAAAAATTATCTTCAAATTCACTTAATCACCCGAATTCATTTAAGTGAACAAAGGAGACAATATTACACTTATGCAATTCAATTTTTTAGCCTAGAAAATCTCCCTAAAATTATAATATCATGATACTCGATACTTGCACCCCTTGGGACAAGTGAAAATTACCTTCATCTTTAACATGGTTAACACATGACATTAATTGATCAATGATTAAATTTTGTGCTAGTGATCAAATCTAACCTGATAGATCTTTCTTTTAGCATACCACTCTAATAAATTTATTATTTTATTGTGATAAAGAGAATAATCAATTCTAAGAAATAATATTTGGTTAAAATTAAAAACATTGACAAATTATCTTTTTAAGTCAAAACTGTAAAAATTTGGAAGTAGTATATATGTAATTTCCAGAAGTTGCCTCCTGTATTCTCCTGCATTTTGGTTGCATCTTACTCTGCTTGTCAAAAGCAGTGCTTACATGCAAATTATTTGTGTAAGAAGTGGACGTAACTGTGCCTGTAGCAGGTACCCCATGTGAAGAAGCTTGATTAGCCCAAATATTTTTGGCCCAGTTCAAGTTCCTCATATTAACTCATAGTGACAAGTTCTCCACAAAAAAAAAAAAAAACTTGTATAATTTAATCTGATAGAGAAATAATAGATAGAGATAAATAAAGAAATAACATAGGAGGTACAAAAATATTTAAAAAGTGTCATTCTATCTTCAAACTCAAAATGCTTGATTATAATCCTTATCCTTCTCTCAAATGAATCTATCTAATGGAGAGAATAATCATACTCTCATTCAATAAACAGCTCAAACTCTGATATTCCGCAAAATCCTGGCATAACCGAAGCAAACGGCACAAAAAATAGTACATCCAGAATGGTGATACCAAGTGATTTTGAACAACTGATACTTTATATCTTAAAACGTGATAACAAAAATTTTAGTTTTTAACAAATTCTATCTAGCTAAAAGAATGTCCCTTTTTACAAAGTTTTTTTTTTTTGCTGTCTTCTAAAGTAAAATCATAAAAAAAACAAAAGGACATAATAGAAGAGATTTTATCTCTTGTGGAAAAAATGTTCTCTCACATTCTTATATGCAGTTGTTAAGCCATTTCTAACTTTGTTTCTATCAAATGAATTGAGTGTTCAGATTAATACAATGACATTCTTGAGATGCACTTCGTGCAGTGTGCTTAAACTTTAGTCACTCTCCTTTTTCATTTTCTCTATCTCTTCTATTCTCATCAACACTACACTCATTTTAGGTCTCTTCTCTGGTGTCATATCAGTACACTCTAGAGCTAACTCTGTTAGCTTTAACATTTCATCATGGCCTTCTTTTTCTGCAAGTATTTCTAAATCCAATATATCTGTGGACCAATCATTGTTCACCACAGTTCTTACCCAATCTGAAAGATCATTGGTAGTTTCTTCAATTTCACCTATGATATGGCCAGGGATTTTGCCGGTTACAATCTCTAGCACAATGATGCCAAAGCAATAAACATCAGCACTGCGTGTTACCTTCTTCCCTTGAACAAATTCTGGTGACCTCCTTATGGCTAGTTTTTCTGCATTCTGTTTGGCTGGGAGTAGAGGCAAGAAACCATAGTCCGTGAGCTTGGAATGGTACCCTTTACTATCTTGATGGATTAGGACATTGGATGACTTGAGGTTGGCATGAGGAACCTTTTGAGAAGGCAAGGAATGATGAAGGAAAAGAAGACCCTTTGCTATGTCTTTGATGATAGAAAGTCTTGTGGTCCAATCAAGTGGCATTCTTCCAATTCCTCTACCCTCTAGCACCAGCAGATTATGAATGTTAGAGTATTAACTTTTAAGTTAATTCTTTTGTGTTAAGGAAGGAAAGAATCAAAACTAACCATGTAGTAGTTCAAACAAAGTGCCATCAGAGGTAAATTCATATATGACCAACTTTTGCTCCTCTGAATAATAAAAGGAGATTATTTCTGCTATATTTTCATGCTTCATCTGTCCTAGCAATTGGATCTGCTGGAGAAATTCCTTCTTGCTCAGTTCATTCATGTGGTTAAGTCTCTTCACTGCAACAACAGTTCCAGTTTCAAGTGTTGCTTTGTACGTAATACCTAAGTTCCCTCTTCCTAGAATTTCTGCTGATGCCCTTAGTAAATCATCCAAGTCAAAAACTGGTAGTTTCTTGTTAGAAAATTCCAATCTGCCTAATCTCTCAGAAACATCACTGCCCCCAGCAGAAGCCACCATCTTCTTTGCCCATGCCCCAAAAACATGCCCTATATTAGAAAATTCAAAACATTTATGAGTTCAATTCAAAACCTTTAGAAATCCTGAATCAGCCTGAAATTGCATTTTACTACAGGAAATTCTAAGTTTGCAAAATAGCATTGCAATAAGCTGCTAATAAAGTGAATGGTAGAGTTGATATGCATAAGATATATCTTACCAGCTGAATCATCTCTTCTTACTTCTTTTCCACTTGTTTGTCTTTTACGAAACAAGAAAGCAATAAAAATGATCAGAGAAAGAAGAATCAGTGCAGCTGCAGCACCAATCACAGCAACAGTCCATGCTTGAAACCTGTTATTTGGCTTCACTGCTGGAATTGGAGGCATAGCAAAAGGAGGTGGTGCAGAAAATGGTGCTGGAGATGGGGCAGGAGGTTGAATAGGACATAACTTATCCAAAGGCTCTCCACAAAGATCTGAATTATTTTCATAAGAACTCTCTGGGAACCTCATCAGCACAGAAGTTTCAGGAATAGGCCCTGACAGATGATTATATGACACATTGAAACTTGTCAATGATGGTTGATCAAAGGGTGGAATTTGACCATGTAAGTAATTCTCTTGCAGCTCCAACACTCTCAGACTGGTAAGTTCAACATATTCCACAGGAATTGACCCTGAGAAATGATTGAATGATAAAAGGGCATGTTCCAAAAACACCAAATTCTTGAGGCTTGGCAATGGTCCAAAAAGTGCATTATTTCTGAAGTCAAGTTGGCTCAAGAGAGTTATGTTTTGAAGAAATGTGGGAGGTAGATAACCACTAAGGTTAACTCCTTCAAGAACAATTTGAACAACATGCCAATTTGAGCAAGTGATTCCAATCCACCTACTCAGACTGTCTATACAAGGAGGGCCTGTCCAATTCCCATGCAAATTCACAGATGAATTCAAAGAATCCCTTATGAGTATCAAAGCATCTCTTTCTTCTGGAAAGAATTCCCCAATTTCAACGCACAACACCATGTTGGATTTGAATGACACAAACAAGACCACATATAAAAAGCTTATGGTAAAGGCCAAGCTCATGATGGTGGATGAAATTGCTCAAAACAACTTGACATGGATTTTTTAACCAAACAGGGATTATTAGCAGAGTGAATCATATCATATCCTCTTTTGTCTCCAATGATTTCACAGTTTGACGATGTTGACAAAGTAAACTTGTGCTAAGTTGCCGAACATAGTGTTGAACAGGAACGATCAGAACAATGTTTTGCAGTTTCTTTGTGAACATTATTATATCACTTGAGTATATAATATATTAATTATAGTTACATAAGATGACAGCTTTCATAATAGGATCTTGCATGATGCAATGTTCCACATTTTTATTTGGTAACTGAGTTGTTCAAGAATAAGAAATGTTGGCTGTTTCAAATATAGTGACATCGTGGGAAGCAGGGAATGTCAATGATCTTTAATTTGGACATTTTCATGGTTGCTTACCTTTTTTTTTTATTCAATTTATAAGTAAGTTTTCATATATTAACTAATTTTCGTTATTAAAGAACATATTAAATTAATCAAAAGTGAATTATTTCATTGTCCAATAATTAAGTTGGCTGAGTAACTGTGAAGGGTTTTAAATTCATTCATCTGTATTTAATTCCTACTGATAAAAAAGTAAATTATTTTGTTGTGTTTATCTTTTGCTGCATTATGTGCCAGTTTGGTCTTATAGCATAAACAAAACTGTGATTATCCGTTAAGAAAAAACAACAAAAAAAAGGGTTTCGTGGAAGATAAAGTAAAACACTGATTAGTCGCCGTGGATTCGTGGCTACGCATGTTCGTATTTATTAACTAATTTGATTATGCCATAATTAATGAATCATTTTAAGGATTGAAACATATTTATTATTTTTACATTTGTTTTGGTGTACCTACTGTGAATAATGGAATATTAATTTTATTGAATTTCTTAATCATAGAGAACCTTTTAGTCTTTGAGATTTTTTTAGATTTCTTTTTTTTTTTCAATGTCAATTCTTGCCTCTTTATCATTTCTAGAAGATAAAGTTCTTGGATG